AAGAAAAAAAGATGATGAGTGAGTGACAACGCGGCTGTGAAAACATTTTTAGATTGTTGACATACAAAGTTCCATTCAGTTTAAAAATTAAATAATTTGTATTGACTGAGATGGCCATATTATTATGTATACTAAAAGAATTTAACCTTCCTGGATATATGAAAAATTAGTGAAGTAAATTACTTCCTTTTATATAGATTCTTTGTGTAGTTTGTAGTGGGATGGCTGGGAGTGTATGTAGTACATCCCTACTGTTTGGTCATACAAGTCATGGGGTCAATAGCAAAAAATAAAGATCATTCTAATGTTAAATTTTTTTAACATTATATGAGACAACAGGAAAAGCACAAATTAAAGTAATTATAATTAAGTATTTATTTCTTCATGGTGAACTCCGTCCCCAACCCATTTTTTGACCAGTCAATAATCCAATTGTGTTTGCCATAGAGGTATCGGGGCAGTCTTTAATATCACTCATCAGCTTTCACTACTCCACCGAGTGTGACGTCTCATTGTTCTAGATAATGTGTGATGTCACACATCATTACAGTTCTAGAAAATGTGTGATGTCACACACCATTTTTGCTGGCATCCGTCCGTCACAATGTGACGATAGAGTGGGCTTCGGAGGACGAAATCCACATGGCCTGGGATTATTCTTCAAGGATTATAAGCTGGTTCCCAACAGCAAATCGCCCCTCTCCACGCCACTGGATAACCCCAAGGGAACATCATTGGATGATACAGCTTGGCACCAGTGACGTCGCAGGAGTTGCCGGAATGTTTCATTCTATCAATGTTATCCGCCTTTCGGGACTCCATCTCCGGGTTTGATTTCAGAGTTTCCTTCTCTTAGATGAGTTGCCATCCAAGGCTAACGAGTCCCATCCACCCGGGGTGCTGATGGTGTTTTTGCTTGACTGGGCTCTAGCTGGAATTGAGCTCTAGACCACCAACTTGAGATATGCTCAGTTTAGTCCACTTGGCCACCCAGCACCCCACACACCATTATAGAAAATGTGTGATGTCACACATCATTACAGTTCTAGAAAATGTGTGATAGCACACACCATTACAGTTCTAGAAAATGTGCGATGTCACACATCATTACAGTTCTAGAAAATATGTGATGGCATACATCACGGAGTTCTAGAATATTACCAGAAAACAATCACATAGAAAAAAATCTAACAACAAAACTAATATTTTTTTTAATGAAAAAAAATAAAGATTATTTAGGATAAACTCAACACACAATAGGAATAAATCTAAAATACGTTATTTATTATATTTATTGATATAGATGTAATATAGATTTATATATGTATGCAAATTTTGTACAGCAATTTTACTGTATGTAACCGGATTATAAATTGTAAAATTATACAGTTCCGGCCAAATCATGTTTAAAAATAAAAAGACACAAATTATAATCCAGGAAAATTAGCTGAAACTTGCTAGAAGCTCTGAAGGAAGAACACAACATGAGAGCCAATGAACATAAAAAAAAATATTTTTCTTTGAAAATAAAGAACTCAAAAAAAACATGCCCGAAACTTCTATGGACACCACAGCATGCCAAGAACTTGACAACCTATGGACACCACAGCATGCCAAGAACTTGACAACCTATGGACACCACAGCATACCAAGAACTTGACAACCTATGGACACCACAGCATGCAAAGAACTTGACAACCTATGGACACCATAGCAGGCCAGGAACTTGACAACCTGTGGACACCACAGCAGGCCAAGAACTTGACAACCTATGGACACCACAGCATGCCAAGAACTTGACAACCTATGGACACCATAGCACACAAAGAACTTGACAATCTATGGCCACCACAGCATGCCAAGAACTTGACAACCTATGGACACCACAGCATGCCAAGAACTTGACAACCTATGGACACCACAGCATGCCAAGAACTTGACAACCTATGGAAACCATAATATGCCAGGAATTTGAAACTTTATGGACACCACAGTTTGCCAGGAATT